GCAGCCCGCGCTGCGCCCCCCCCCCCCCCGCCCCGGGGAGCAGCGTGGGGTTGTGGCAGAGCCCAGTTGTTTCCCCCCACCTACCCAGTATAGTACGGGGAATGGTTGTGGGGTGCAAATGAACCTTAAAAATGTTGGGTGCTGCTGCTTCCAGCCACCGAGACCCGCTCGAGCCTTGGCACGAGTTGGGGTCACTCTTGGACATGGGACAGCCCTGCCTTGGACCTGGGGACCCCAAAGAGGGGCTGGGGGTCCCTGGAGAGGTGAGGACTCCAAAGAGGAGCCAGGAATCCCCAGTGCATCACCCCCCCCTCCAGGGCTCAACAGAAGCAGTTCCCCTGGGAAAGCCATGCCCGGCGGAGGGCAAGTGCTGGCACGCGAGGTCAGGAGCTGGACGCCTGCAATTGCATTTCCTTCTGCACCAGGTTTATTTTGTCAGTCCCGGGGCAGCACAGCGGTCACAGCCCCATGGGGCTGGGCTGAGGCGGGGGGAGAGCAGGGGGGGCCAACGGCTGTTTTCATTCCTTAGCCGAAGACTATCACAAATGACGCAAATTCCCAAAAGATCTGGGCAGGGGGGTGGCGGGGGATGTGTCAGCTGGCGAGAGGCAGCCAGATGTGCTCCAGCAGCTCCAGGGCTGCTGCCCCACAGTAGTGCTGCCAGGGTGCAGCCCCACGGCAATGCCGCATATGCCACCCTAGAGTGTTTTGTCCCATGGTGAGTGCACACCCCCAGGCTGGCATCGCCAGGGTCCCTGTCCCACACTCTTTTGTGGTGCCTTTAGTGTCCCTTCGGTGTCCCCTTGGCACCCGTGCTGCCTGGCAGGCTTTTGGCTGCCCCAGGGACAAGGCGACGTGTGTCTGGTGGGGAATCTGGGGATGCTCCTGGGAAGACCACCCTAGGGTGCAAGCTGGGGCAGGGTACCCAGGCTGCCACCCCCCTCCCCCCAGCATGATCTGGGGTACGGGTGCACCTCAGGGGCCAGCCCTGTGCCCGGGTCCAAGCGTGGGGGGCACCACCGGCAGCACGCACCCCAGCACCCTCGCAGCGAGCACCCAGCCCTCAGGCCACCCAGATTACCCACCTCCAGTGGCAGAAGGGCTGGTGTGGCCCCAGCATGGCGGGGAGGGTGGAAGGGGGGGGTTCCACTTTGCTGAGCCTGAGCTCCGGCGCACGTCTCTCCCTCTTCACCACAGCTGCGCAGCAGATGGGCTCGAAGGAGCCCCTGCTTGGCGCAAGGCCCAGCGCCCGGAGGGAGGAGCGGTACCCGCTGGGGGCCCCAGCCGGCCGAGGCCAAAGGGGCCAGGCACATCTCCAGCCAGGAAAAACAGAGGCCCCAGCTCCGAGCGTGTGGTGGCCCCGGCGGTGCGCACCGCAGAGGGCTGGAATAACAGCCCTCGCGCCGGAGCCCGCCACGCGCTATCAAAGGGCCCTTCTTCTGCCAGGCCTCCGTGGGGATGGGGGGCCGGGGGGGGCCCAGCGAGGGCTGGCGGTGAGAGGGGAGCTGGTCCACCACGCCTGCAGGGGACCGTCTGTGCCCAGCCAGGCGCCAGGACCGTCCTGCCCCGTCACCCTGGGCCAGGCCTGGGTCCCCGGCGTGGGTGGGTGCACCCGAGGGCCAGGCCCAAATGGCGGTGGGGGGGTGTCACTTGGGTGGTGTCATGGGGAGCAGCGTGTTCCCAGGCCCCACGGGGCCGAGCTGTCCTTACCAGGGTGGGGTGCCCACCCGTGTCCCCCCTCCCTGAGAGCCTCTGGGGCCACCCCTGCCCCCAGGCCAGGCCCTGCGAGCCCTGGCTGGGCCCAGGGCTCCTTCCTGGTGGCAGACCCAAGGCACCAGGGCAGGCCGGGGCCGGGGTACACGGACCCCCAGGGGTAGGGACAATTCCCGGTCCTGGAGCCCGGGCCGGGCCCCCCAGCAGACCCGGCCATGCGCCTTCGCCCCTTCCTGCCCCCGCCACGCCCACTTACCCCGGCCACACCCCTATCGTCACGCCCCCTTGCCCTTCTCCACTCGAATCCTGCCCCCGAGTGGGTCCCGCCCCCCTCCTCCCTTCAGGCTCTCCGCCAATGGGAGGTGCGCACTCACCCGGCGCCACCAATGAGCTTGCGGCCGCGGGCGGGGCACGGCCGGTGTTTACCGTCTCCATGGAGACGGAGCGGTTTCACACTGCGCAGGCGCCATGGAGCCCGGAGTGCGGCGGCGGGGGGCTGAGACCCCCGGAACGGGGTACCGGGACGGGGCGGGGCATTAAGGGGTGTAGGGCCTTAGGGTGACCCCCGAGGGAGACATTTGGGGGGCAGGGGCCTGGGTGGGTTGGGGGCAGGACCTGAGGAGCATTGAGGGGAGAGGGGCAGGCATTAGGAGATGGGGGGGGGAGTCGAGG